TGGATTGGAATTGGATTAGAATTGGATTGGAATTGGATTGGAATTGGATTAGAATTGGATTAGAATTGGATTGGAATTGGATTAGAATTGGATTAGAATTGGATTAGAATTAGATTGGAATTGGATTGGAATTGGATTAGAATTGGATTGGAATGGATTAGAATTAGATTGGAATTGGATTGGAATGGATTAGAATGGATTGGAATTGGATTGGAATTGGATTAGAATGGATTGGAATGATTGGAATGGATTAGAATTGGATTGGAATTGGATTAGAATTGGATTGGAATTGGATTAGAATTGGATTGGAATTGGATTAGAATTGGATTAGAATTGGATTGGAATTGGATTAGAATTAGATTGGAATTGGATTGGAATTGGATTCGAATTGGATTCGAATTGGATTCGAATTGGATTCGAATTGGATTCGAATTCGATTAGAATTACAAAAACTAGAACTAAATTCAGTGAATTTCTTTTAGTCAGTGTTCGGATTGTGATGGTTGCTGCGACAATTCCCCTCGATTTTCTCTTAATTCATAAAATGATGGTGAGTGGGATTTGAAGATCTTTAAAGATTTAAACATTTAGAATTTAAAATTTAAAAGATTGTTTCCCTGAATCGTGGTCTTTGTCCAAAAAAAAGTCCGTTTGTTCTTTGGCGAATGGCTTCTCCGTCCGCCAGGGCCAATCCGCCAGGGCCAATCCGCCAGGGCCAATCCGCCAGAGCCAATATCTCTGCCATTTCAATCTCAGCCTTCTTTCTGGCTGTTGATCGTCTCGTTTTCGACACTCGTCACGATTTGTGGCGCATCTTTTTCAATCTCTTCATCCAACGCATTGTAATCGAAGTCATTGAAGTGTAATCGAAGTGTTTGGAGTGATTGGACGAAGAACAGTGATTGAAACCAAAGAAATCTTTTCCATATGCAGCCATTCGCCATTTGCGTGGAAAAAAGACTTTCAACTTATTTATTTGAATCTATGTTTAAGAGAGCAACAGAGAAGGGTCAACTCTTTCAACATTTGTTAGTTTGCAGAGAGCTTATCCCTTTTCCTAGGATTGTTCTTTAAATTCTGATCAAATAAACTGGTGCATGTGAAACTTAATAAAACACGTTAAAACAATTTTAAAAGACTTTTTGGTTAAAAAAACAAAAAAGTGCAAAAGACCATGGAACTTTTAAAAGACCATGGAACTTTCAGAAGACCACCAAACTTTTAAAAGACCACGATTCAGGGAAAGAGCCTTTTAAACATTTAGAAACATTTAGAATGTTATCTTTTTCAGACTCAAAAGAGAAATGTGCAGAATGAGAGTGAGCGATTTCTTCTCGCACAGGTATTCCTTTTACTTTCGAAATACCTTCTCTTGCACTGAATTCTTCATTTTTCTTGCAACATTTCACGAGAATCAGGAATTCAGTGCACCAGAAGGTGTGCGTTTATGATAAAACTTTCCAGCAAAAGTACAATCCATAAAGTAAACTCCATAAAGTAAACTCCATAAAGTAAACTCCATAAAGTACACTCCATAGAGTACACTCCATAGAGTACACTCCATAGAGTACACTCCATAGAGTACACTCCATAGAGTACACTCCATAGAGTACACTCCATAGAGTACACTCCATAGAGTACACTCCATAGAGTACACTCCATAGAGTACACTCCATAGAGTACACTCCATAGAGTACACTTGCAGATCATCGCCAACAACGTTCCCCTCACATTCATCTATTTGCTTTGCCCGTTCGTTTTTGTCTTCTTCATGAACTGGTTGCCAATGTTTTCGGATTTCGTTTACTACGTCGGCAATTTGCTTACTTATTCGGGTGGTCAACTTTTTCAGGGGTAGGTGAAAAGCAAAGATCATCTGAGGAATGAGCCAAGAGCCAAGATCAGCCAAGAGGAATCTGAAAATGAAATGACTATTCCTGATTAGCTATTCTCGATTAAATTGTGACAATCTATTTGATAATAATTCAGAATGGTCACAATTTATTTGTTACAAAAAACGGTGCTAAAAGACAGCAGTCAGAGCGGAAAAGAAAGCAAGGGAACGGCTACGAAAAGATCGAATAATGAGGTATCAACTTCTTCGGTGCGATAGAGGGGAAAGAAGATTCGATTCTTGATTTCGATTGGTGCTTTGTTTGTATATTTGTTTTCAAATAAAGGAAATTTCATCAGAATTGTGTAAAAGAAGGTCGAAAGTCCTTCCGTGTGCGTCAGAGATGTCGGGACTCGATCTGGATCGAGTCCCGAGTCGAGGTCCGGATCCAGATCTAGGTCCGGATCCAGATCTAGGTCCAGATCCAGAGCTCCGGATCCAGTTCTAGGTCCAGATCTAGGTCCGGATCCAGAGGTCCGGATCCAGATCTAGGTCCAGATCCAGATCTAGGTCCAGATCCAGAGCTCCGGGTCCAGTTCTAGGTCCAGATCTAGGTCCGGATCCAGAGGTCCGGATCCAGATCTAGGTCCAGATCCAGATCTAGGTCCAGATCCAGAGCTCCGGGTCCAGTTCTAGGTCCAGATCTAGGTCCGGATCCAGAGGTCCGGATCCAGATCTAGGTCCAGATCCAGATCTAGGTCCAGATCCAGAGCTCCGGATCCAGTTCTAGGTCCAGATCTAGGTCCGGATCCAGAGGTCCGGATCCAGATCTAGGTCCAGATCTAGGTCCGGATCCAGATCTAGGTTCGGTTCCAGATCTAGGTCCGGTTCTAGAGGTCCGGATCGGGTCTAGAATCCGGCCTAGAATCCGGCCTATTTTTCCAGGTCGGATCCGAGATTCGGAATCAAATCCGCGTCCGAATACAACAGTTTTTGACATTGATTCTACTCAAAAATTACAACTTTTATATCCATGGAAAGCTTAATTACAACTTTTTTTTCTATAGAATTATATAGAAAACAAAATGGAGAAACCTAGCAACAATAACTTGCTTTGGATTAAGTAGTAAATTAACGAAGGAACAAGCATTTTAGAAAGTTTATATGTCGTAGCCGATTATGAATTTCAGCCGGTTATGAATGAGCGGGTCCGGACGCGTCCAATCATCAAGTATTTAGTATCATTCAACGCAGAATCATTAATAATTATGTGAAATTTTTAAAATTAGAAAGATTGGATAAAAAGAAAAAAAATTATGGGGTCTCAAAGTTTCCTCTTAAACAAACAGTTTTTTTGCTCTAATCTTTTTTCTTTTTATCCAATCTTTCTAATTTCAAAAATTTAACATAATTATCAATGATTCTGCGTTGAATGATACCAAATACTTGATGGTTGGACGCTCCTAGACCCACTCATTCATAATCGGCTACGACATATATATAGGACCCGGATCCGACCTGGGATTTTGGATTTTTTCCTGATCGAAACTCCGGTCTTTTTTTGAGATCCGCAAGATTTGGAAGACCTGGAAGATTTGGAAGACCTGGAAGATTTGGAAGACCTGGAAGATTTGGAAGACCTGGAAGATTTGGAAGACCTGGAAGATTTGGAAGACCTGGAAGATCTGGAAGACCTGGAAGATTTGGAAGACCTGGAAGATCTGGAAGACCTGGAAGATCTGGAAGACCTGGAAGATCTGGAAGACCTGGAAGATTTGGAAGACCTGGAAGATTTGGAAGACCTGGAAGATTTGGAAGACCTGGAAGATTTGGAAGACCTGGAAGATCTGGAAGACCTGGAAGATCTGGAAGACCTGGAAGATTTGGAAGACCTGGAAGATCTGGAAGACCTGGAAGATCTGGAAGACCTGGAAGATCTGGAATCCGTTTCCGGATCTTTTTCTCGATTCGCACATCTCTAGTGTGCATCTCTAGTGTCCAAACAATAAAAGAAACACTTTTCCAATGACACTTTACCTTTCTTTACCTTTCAATTCCTCTTTCAAACACAGAATCTCATAACTTTTCTTGTCTTTTCTTGTTTTAAGATTAAGCTGAAAGTTGAGGAGATAGTAATGAATAAAAGTTTATTGTGAAAAGTTACACGAAACCCGTTTGAATACATTGAAAAAACAAAGAACACACCAAAAGTGAAAGAGAGGTCATTTTCAAATCTCAAAATGTTCATAATACTTGATGTTTTCTAAAGACTATCCTTTTTTCAAAAGCTTTTTTCTTTAAACTACCGTAATCTTGTCTCAATCTTGTCTTCTCTTTTTCCAATTGATCTACTTTTTCTCTGATTCTGTTAGGATTTAAAAAGGATATCAAAATCTCAAAATCAAAATCAAAATAGCTCGATAGCTTAGCTCTTAGCTCAATAGCTTAGCTCTTAGCTCGATAGCTTAGCTCGATAGCCTATCAGTGAATAGAAAAAGTGAATAGATTTAATGAAAAATAGAGACAAGATTACGGTAGTTTAAAGAAAAAGGCATAGGCTTTAGGTAGTTTAAGGGAAAGGAATAGGTTTTAGGAAACGAATTAGTATTGGCTACGGTATGGTGCCTTAAACCAGTACTGTACGTTATTGTACATGGAGCATATTTTAGAGGACAAAGAGTTAAAAGACGAATATTACAGTAATCAATAAACTAATCTCGATTATCATTTCTAAATCAGGCCCGTTAATCTACAGTGATGTGCATATTGAGAACAAAAACAATCATAATAATGACAAGGGTTGTGATCAAAATGAGTTAGTACTTTACTTTAGGAAATAGTTAGCTTACAGTACCCACAGCTAGCAGTACCCAAGCAGCCACAGTACACAGCAGCACAGACACAGCTGGCACAGTACCACAGCTACTTACAGTGCCACAGCAGTCTACAGACCACAGCTAGCTTATAATACCTACAGCTAGCTCACAGTACTACAGCTAGCTTACAGTACTTACAGCTAGTCTACAGTACCTACAGCTAGCTTACAATACCTACAGCTAGTCTACAGTACTTACAGCTGGCTTACAGTACCCATAGCTAGCTTACTTAATGCTTTAGTTATCGTTAGTTAGAGTACAGTTTTTTACCAACTACAAACTTTTTCTTAATAATCGATTGGTTTCCAATTGTCGGGCCAAAGATTTACAACAAAATCTGGCTCAAATTTGCTGTATTTCGTTCGATAGAAGACTTCTTCACCCCTTGACACAGCACCCATCCAATAACCGTATGTTGAAATCGAAGCTGGAAATGATCTTAGCTTATTCCCTTCTTTCTTTCTTTCTTTCTTTCTTTCTTTCTTTCTTTCTTTCTTTCTTTCTTTCTTTCTTTCTTTCTTTCTTTCTTTCTTTCTTTCTTTCTTCCTCTCTTCTTCCTTGTCTTTCTCTCTTTCTCTAGCAAGTAAGGTATCAATAATTAATTAATTAAAGTAATTACCTGAAAAGCAAGGTCAAAAGGAAAGGCTGAGAGTTCAATCCTCTCTCTGGGAATCTACTTTCCTTGTTAATTCTTTTATTGATCTATTGGTCAATTATTGATCAATTCCTTTATTGATCGACCTTTATTGATCCTTTGAACCTACCAGTTAACAAAGTTGTATCACAATAGAGCTTTGCAAAGGCCCAATCGATCATTGATGGAAGATACGATGGAGAGTGGATGACTGTGAGATTGATTTTACGTCGAAGACTTGCTTCTGGAAAGTACGATTTTACAGTAAGTAGCTCTGGGATTACTGTAGCTTTCTGAACTGTAATTGCTGGGATTACTGTAGCTGATGGATTGCTGTAGCTAGTCGGGTTACTGTAGCTAATAGCTGTTGGATTGCTGTAGCTAGTCGGGTCACTATAGCAGATAGCTGATGGACTACTGTAGCTAGGGTTACTGTAGCTGATAGCCGATTACTGTAGCTGGTCGGGTTACTATGACCAATAGCCATTAGATTACTGTAACGGGTAAGCAGAAACCAAGACTCACTCGCGAAAATCTGCCTCGCCCAAGCAGCATCTTGTCCAAGGATGAACACTCGTACCTGTGAGATCCCCCGTTTGTGCACTATAATGAGCTTTTCTTTTCTTTATTTCTACTCTTTCTGCTCACTTTTTCGAATCAAATATTTTGTGGCATCAACAGTGAAATCGGCCTCAGATTCGAGATGGAATTTCTCTTTCATGAAGTCACCGCGACGCACGTGAACACAAATACTAAAATGGAAAGATTCAGAGATGTTCCACTAAGAGCTGTAGGCTGGATCTGGCTTTTAATCTTGTCTGCTTGTCAGCTCAGATCTGCTTGTCAGCTCAGATCTGCTTGTCAGCTCAGGCTTGCTTTCTAAAGTCTAAGTTTAAGCCCAATCACTTGTAGTCTCTAGTGGCCAGGTACGTCAGGTAAAACCAAGCCAGGCCTTCCACAAGAACCAATGTTTGTATAGAATTTAAAAGCAAGACTAACTTATGCGTTTGTTCATCGATTTTCTCGGGATAAACGCTCGACTTGGCCACATCGAGTAGTTGATTGGAGAAAGCGAGGCGTCTCTGCAACTCGGCTGATCCCATCAGCTCATCGATGAATCTCACATTCTAAACAAGGTCAATCTAAATCTAAATCTAAATCTAACTCTAAAAACAATTAAAAGATTAAACCTGTAAATAATTAAACTGAGTGTTGACAATTCGATGGTGTTGAACTGATTGAAATGTTGAAATTGGATCGAAATAATCAAAGCATTCATGGGCTGGGTATTTTGAGGGATACGGGATGAAACGCTGGAAAATCTTGATGTTTTAATGAATACGAGACTAAAGGCAACTCTAAAGAAAGGTTTTGACTTAGCTTAGTGCCATACCTGGTCTAGACTGGCTTTAGACTGGCTTTAGTGGCTTTAGACTGGCTTTAGGGGCTTTAGAGTGGATTTAGACTGGCTTTAGACTAGCTTTAGCTGGCTTTAGACTGGCTTAGATCTAGATCACCAGAAGCTAGACCAGGTCCGGATCCAAGGGACTCTTGTAGACCAAGCCATAAGTCGACAATGCCAATGACCAAGCCATAAGTGATCAAGCAGGTCCTAGCCTCACTTCTATCGCTCATTCTTGGTCTGGCTTTGCTTTAGATCTCGGATAGGCTTCGACCTAGCTTACAAGCCAAGGACAGGGAGATTCTAACCGACTCTAGGCCAGGCCAGAAAGGAAAGGAAGGCAAGGCCAGAGTCTAGCTATAACCTAGACTCTGGCCAGCTCTAAATCTAGCTAGCTCTAGACACTAGCCAGCTCTAGAACTAACTTCTGGTGAATCCAAGGAATTTTTCTAGATCCGGTCAACTCACGGGTCTTTTAACGATCAGAAATCCGTCGACCAAGTGCGGCATGTGCTCGACAAAAGTAGCGATTTTCTCCAAACATGTCGAACTGTCCGAGTAGATTGCTGGGGATCTAAAGGAAGATTATGCAAAATTTGTGTTCCGTTTATGACTCCACCAAATCGAACCTATACAATTTCCTGGCGATCTCTTGAAAAGCAATCAGCTCAAAGACAACATTGCCCACTCCACCACCAGTTGTCGTGTCGCACGCTATCAGTTGAGCAGCCAAAATGCGTCGATCACTTTTCTCAGCCAAACGCATTCCATGCGGGATTCTGAAAGCTTTGTTTATGATTTTAGACTCTAGACTTTTTGTCTAGAGTCTAGAGTTTAGAGTCTAGAGTTTAGAGTCTAGAGTCTAGAGTCTAGAGTCTAGAGTCTAGAGTCTAGAGTCTAGAGTTTAGAGTCTAGAGTTTAGAGTCTAGAGTTTAGAGTCTAGAGTTTAGATCACTCACACTTTTGGATAATCTGATTGATCACCGCGATCGATCCACAAGAAGAGGGTGATTGTTAGCGAGAGGAGGAAGATGATCGAATGATAGCGAGAAATCGATGAGATCACCCCATGCCATCTCCTCATCACATTTGCTAAATGGTGAATGAGTTTTGATAAAAGAAAAGGCTTATATACAAGGCTTTGAAAAGGTTTGATCAAAATTTCACTGAAAAAGGAAATAAGTCAAATTTGGATGGCAATTGCTTGATTGAATAAGGAGGATCGAGTTCGAAGAGTTCGAAGAGGTGGAAGAGTTCGAAGAGTTTGAAGAGGTGAAGAGTTCGAAGAGGTGGAAGAGTTCGAAGAGTTCGAAGAGGTGGAAGAGTTCGAAGAGGTGGAAGAGTTGGAAGAGTTTGAAGAGGTGGAAGAGTTGGAAGAGTTTGAAGAGGTGGAAGAGTTCGAAGAGTTCGAAGAGGTGGAAGAGTTCGAAGAGTTTGAAGAGGTGGAAGAGTTCGAAGAGTTCGAAGAGGTGGAAGAGTTCGAAGAGTTTGAAGAGGTGGAAGAGTTCGAAGAGTTGGAAGAGTTCGAAGAGGACTTCCTAAGATCTAAGGCGAATCTAAGGCGGTAAGATTATGAAACAAACTTTCAATTAGCTGTTTTGTTTTGTGATTAGCTGTTTTGTCTTCCAATTAACTGTTTTATTTTGCTGTTGTTTTCATTTGCTTTTAACTAACGCTTATTTTTAGATACGAAAAGCAAAAAGGATTTCCACCAGGTCATAATTTGATTGTTTAGAAAACGAGTGATGGAGATTGTTAAAAGAGTCACTGTTTCAAAAGCCATCGTTACGAAGAGACGGAAAACAACGACGATCGGGTTCGAAGAGGACATCCGAAGATCTAAGACAGCCCCAATCAGGCAAACAAGTTATTGAACCTCTTAAATGAACCCAATGGCTGCAAAGAAGTCAACTCGAAAATGGCGGCATCCATTCGATTCGCAGATTGCTCCGTTCTTCTTAAAAAAGTTCTTCTTCTTAAAAACAAAGCCAGAAAAAATGTAAACGATCATTTGCTTAAGGATCCGATGAAATTAAAGCGTCTTGCACGTGCTAAAGTGCTTCAATGACGCACAGAGAGTTCACAAAGATCAAAGACAACATTGCCCACTCCACCAGCAGTTATCGCTATCAGTTGCTGTTGATCACTGTCTGTTGATCACTGTCGAGATCACAGCCAAAATGCGTCGATCACTTTCCTCACCCAAACGCATTCCATCAGGATTCTGAAGGCTTTGTTGATAATTTCATGATCTAGACTTTAGACATCTAGACTTTAGATCACTCACACTTTTGGGTAATCTGATGAGAAGTGGTTTGACATTGAACAAGCTCATAATCAGAATGATCTAAGAATCCTTTTGGACATTGGTTTGACATTGAACCAGCTCATAATCAGAATGATCCAAAAACCCTTTACGATTTAAAGAAAGATTAATATCTAGACGACAAAAACCCCAACAAATCGTTCAACAAATCAACAAACAACAACAACAAATCAAGTAACTCCGTATGATTCCCATTTGTTTCCTTATAGTTCCTTATGGTTCCTTATAGTTCCTTATGGTTCCTTATGGTTCCTGTTTGGTTCCTGTTTGGTTCATATTTGGTTCCTTATGGGCCCTATTTGATTCCTATTTGTTTCCTAATGGGTCCTATCTGATTCCTGTTTGGTTCCTATTTGTTTCCTATTTGTTTTCCTACACTGGAAACACTGATATTTATTTTCATTTATGTAAAAATGAACAAAAACAAGTACATCTGCTTTAAAGATGTTTCAAAGCTGTTTCAAAAAAATCGTTCAACCAGGCACAGCTTCATTTTAGCCAAAATTCTTGAACATATCAGCAGGACTCTGCATCTCACAAGGTACGAGAAACTCAAGACTGGACGCTAAGAAATTCCAGATTGAATCAAATGATGTCAGCTCACAGACTTCTGGTGGCCATTGACTTCTGCTGGCCATTGACTTCTGGTGGCCATTGACTTCTGCTGGCCATTGACTTCTGGTGGCCTCGAAATCTTTGACTTTGACAATCGACTTTCCCAAGCGCTTGAGAAACCAAGATAACCATCATTTGCAGCAAGAAGTTGCTGCAAATGATTGCCAGTTTGAGATTTAAAGATTCTTTTTCTTGTACTTTATTTCTTTTTCCGTAATTTTATGAATAAATTGTTGGTCAATAGAAAAATTGAGAAGTTTCTCGTTAATTCTCATTCATTTTCAATCTCAAAAGACCGCAATCTCAAAAGAATCGTTTGAAAGAATAAAAAACAGTTGTTAAGACTTTGATTACGATAGTTTTATATAGAAATGGCGTTTCAAAAACGTTCAAAAACGTTCAAAAACGTTTCAAAACGTTTCAAAAACGTTTCAAAACGTTTCAAAACGTTCAAAAACGTTTCAAAACGTTCAAAAACATTTCAAAAGCTTGTAAACAAAAAGAAAAGAAAGATCTAAGATAAATAAAACGAAAGAGTGAAATTCGATCAAATATTTGACACATTTTGAATTGAATCAAAGAAAAAGTAAACATATGACTGGATTGGGAAAAGAAAGATAGAAAAGAAATGAAGAAAATGGAGAAAATGGCTTAAAAATTTGAAAATTTCATGTAGAAAAGACTTTAAATGTAACAAGAAATTGAGATGAGATGAAAAAGAGAGAAATGAGGCGGAGATTGAGATCATTTTTCCGATTTCCATTCACCTCATTTCACCTTGCCTCAACAATGGGAATGGGATGATGAAATTGAGCATTGAAGTAAAGAATCATCCTTAGAGAATGATCTCGAGACGTTTTCATGTTAATTTTGAATTACTGTCCCAAATTTTAAATGTTAATTTTCGCGCAACGTCGCAATCCAATTGACGTCGCCGCCATTTGGAGATGGGAGCGCCGCGTAGTCGTTTCTTTTTCATTTTTTTAAAGAGAAACACAAAATTTATCGCGTAAAACAATAATTTCAATTAATATGACAAAAGAAATGAAAAAGAAACGACGACGCGTCGCTCCCATCCACTACCTCCAAATGGCGGAGACGTCAATTGGAATGCGACGTCCTCGGCTCCCAAATGCTGACAAAAACAAAAACAAAAACAAAAACAAACAAAAAAACAAACAAACAAACAAACAAACAAACCAACCAAAACAAACAAACCAAAACAAACAAACAAACAAACAAACCAACCAAAACAAAAACAAATGATTTGAAAACAAAAAAGAAACGACGACGCAGCGCTCCCATCGACTACCTTCAAATGGCGGCGACGTCAATTGGAATGCGACGTCCTCGGCTCCAAATTTTTGTTTTCAAATCATTTGTTTTTGTCGAGATAGTTTTCGCGCAACGTCGCATTTCTATTGACGTCGCCGCCATTTGGAGGTAGTTGATGGGAGCGCTGTGTCGTCGTTTCTTTTTTGTCGAGATGGTTTTCGCGCCACGTCGCAATTCAATTGACATCACCGCCATTTGGAGGTAGTTGATGGGAGCGCTACGTCGTCGTTTCATTTTCATTTTCTTGTCATATTAATTGAAATTATTGTTTTACGCGATAAATTTTGTGTTTCTCTTTAAAAAAATGAAAAAGAAACGACGACGTAGCGCTCCCATCAACTACCTCCAAATGGCGGCGACGTCAATTGGATTGCGACGTTGCGCGAAAATTAGCATTTAAAATCTGCGACAGAAATTCAAATTTAACATAAAAACGCCTCGAAAAACATTTTTTTCTCTCCGAAGATCATTTCTCTACTACTAAAGCTACCCAAGTTCTGGCCTGATCTGGGCTAGTAAATTTGAGCTTTGAACAGGTCTGTCCAGGCTCGGCTTCTAGATATCTGTGAATCAAGTGAGGCCAAGTTTAACCGAATTCTTGTAAAGATGGAAATTCTGAGTTAATGAAAAGCTTAGCAATCCGAATCGATTCGAAAAAAGTAAATTTCTTGATCAAAAATATTAGTAGATTGTGTGCAAATCAGTGAAGAAAAAAAAAGAGGAGAAAAATGAAGGCGATTTCATTCGAATTTTTCTCTTTTTCTTTCTTTCATCTTTTCTTCTGCTGTGGACAGACTCAAAGGGAAAACTGATAACAATTTGATATGTTTGAAAAAGGAAAAGATGAAGAAAAAGGGGAATAAAGAAGAAATTGAACCTCGAGAAGGAAGAATCGACTTTTTGTGGATTGGAATAAACCAGACAAATCGCTCCACCAACTAAAAACGGCCATGCACCACCAACCACCGAATCAAAAAAGAGCTCTCAGTCTGTCAATCCTTACAGTGTCCGGGCCGGATGAGATTCTAGAAGAAGAAGAAACGGGATCTAGTCAAAATAGCGCCTTTGAAAATGGCGCCGTTCAAAACAGCGCCGTTCAAAACAGCGCCTTTCAAAACAGCGCCGTTCAAAACAGCGCCATTTAAAACAGCGCCCATACAAAGATAATGTTAAATTGAAAAAGATTTCGATAAGATTTTTCAAAATTTCAAATGTTTTTGAACTTCTCAACAACTTGTAACTTTTGTTATATTTAATTTTTTACATTTTACATTTTACATAACATGGACATTTTATGGACATTTTAAGCAAATTGCGCTTGTTTTTAACAAATCGATCGATTATTTCATCATCAGAATCATGTTTTATAGGTCATTTTAAATAAACAATGCTATATATTTTGTTTTTCGTTGTCTTTAAAGAGTAGAAGGGTGCAAGTGCAACGACCCTTCTATTCCTTCAGGCGACGTTTTTTTTTTCTGAAACGTTCTTTCTGAAAAACACAAAATTAAGTACCAAGAACAGTAAAAACAAGAAAAAAAACGTGATTTCCATAAATGCACTTAAGTATCTTAGGATCAAAGTATCTTAAGATCAAAGCATCTCTGGTAGGAAACTCACCTCAGCCGTAAAAGAATCAGCCTAGCCTGGGAGCCTTGTAAAGCCTCAGCCTTGTAAAGCCTCAGCCTTGTAAAGCCTCAGCCTTGTAAAGCCTCAGCCTTGTAAAGCCTCAGCCTTGTAAAGCCTCAGCCTTGTAAAGCCTCAGCCTTGTAAAGCCTCAGCCTTGTAAAGCCTCAGCCTTGTAAAGC